GGCGGCGCGGGGGGCGGCGCAGGGGGCGGCGGCGGCGCCATGCAGCCGGGCAGTGCCGCCGTGACCTCGGGCGCCTACCGCGGGGACCCAGCCTCGGTCAAGATGGTGCAGAGCGACTTCATGCAGGGGGCCATGGCCGCCAGCAACGGCGGCCATATGCTGGGCCACGCGCACCAGTGGGTCACCGCCCTGCCCCACGCCGCAGTCGCCGCCGCTGCCGCCGCTGCCGCTGTGGAGGCCAGCGCGCCGTGGTCCGGCAGTGCGGTGGGCATGGCCGGGAGCCCACAGCAGCCTCCCCCGCCCCCGCCTCCGCCCCCTCAGGGCCCCGACGTGAAGGGCGGCGCTGGGCGCGACGACCTGCACGCGGGCGCTGCGCTGCATCACCGCGGGCCGCCGCACCTGGGGCCCCCGCCTCCGCCCCCGCACCAGGGCCACCCGGGGGGCTGGGGCGCCGCCGCAGCGGCGGCAGCAGCCGCAGCCGCAGCCGCTGCTGCCGCGCATCTTCCGTCCATGGCGGGGGGCCAGCAGCCGCCGCCTCAGGGCCTGCTGTACTCACAGCCCGGGGGCTTCACGGTGAACGGCATGCTCAGTGCGCCCCCTGGGCCTGGAGGCGGTGGCGGAGGCGGCGGAGGTGCGGGCAGCGCGGCGCAGAGCCTGGTGCACCCGGGGCTGGTGCGCGGGGATACGCCCGAGCTGGCTGAGCACCACCACCACCACCACCACCACGCGCACCCGCACCCTCCGCACCCGCACCACGCGCAGGGCGCCCCGCACCACGGCGGCGCAGGCCCGGGACTCAACAGCCACGACCCGCACTCGGACGAGGACACACCGACGTCCGATGACCTGGAGCAGTTCGCCAAGCAGTTCAAGCAGCGGCGCATCAAGCTGGGCTTCACACAGGCAGACGTGGGGCTGGCGCTGGGCACGCTCTATGGCAACGTGTTCTCGCAGACCACGATCTGCCGCTTTGAGGCCCTGCAGCTGAGCTTCAAGAACATGTGCAAGCTCAAGCCGCTGCTGAACAAGTGGCTGGAGGAGGCGGACTCGAGCACCGGCAGCCCCACCAGCATTGACAAGATCGCGGCTCAGGGCCGCAAGCGCAAAAAGCGGACCTCCATTGAGGTGAGCGTCAAGGGTGCGCTGGAGAGCCACTTCCTTAAGTGCCCCAAGCCCTCGGCCCAGGAGATCACCAACCTGGCCGACAGCCTGCAGCTGGAGAAGGAGGTGGTGCGGGTCTGGTTCTGCAACCGGCGCCAGAAAGAGAAGCGCATGACGCCGCCTGGGCTCCAGCAGCAGACGCCCGACGATGTGTACTCACAGGTGGGCGCCGTGAGCGCCGACACGCCGCCGCCGCCGCCGCCTCACCACGGGCTGCAGACCAGCGTGCAGTGAGCGAGCGCGGCCGCCGCGCAGAGGGCCGCCGCCGCCAGCCGCCTCCCCACCGGGCAGCTTGCGAACGCCACCGAGCAGCCCAGCCAGGCGCGCCGCTGCCTCCCCTCTGCCCAGAGACAGGCGTGCCCGCCCGTGGAGGAAAACTGGAGGGAGACTCTGGCCGAGGAGACTTTCTTTATTTTTCTTTTCTTTTTGTTTCTTTTTTTTTCCGCAAGTCCAAGGAAGGAGGGACCAAAAAATTTCAAAAGCATACTACATACTCAGACTGTTTTATATACATATATACAAACAAAACCGGAAGAGGAAAAAAGAGGCAACCAAGAGATCTCCTTTATACCGTGGTGGTGTTTTGTTTTTGTTTTTGTTTTTATTTTCAAGAAGGTTGAAGATGCCTGACACACCAAAACTGGAGGTATTCGTGCCGAGAGATGCCCTGTAAGGCAGCGGTGGACAGCACCTGCCCTGTCCTGCTCGCCTCTTGGAGAGGAGAGAGCGAGCCCCCTTTCTTTTCTTCCACCTCCTCCAGAAGGGCTGCCGCGGAGATCCACGGAAAGCGCTTTCCTGGGAGCACCTGAAAGAAAGCGGGCGCGCCACAGCACCAGGTTCCCTCGGGTCTGACCCTGGGCTACAGGACCCTGTTTTTCTTGGCCATATTAAAGTCATTTGGGAACAAACCAACCAACTATGAAAAAGGAAAGAGAGTAGCAAGAAACAGTCTCCAGGAAAAAAAAAATCACAGTTTCTGTAATGAACAGACTGAACAGCAAAGCCAAAAGAAAGCATCCTCCAAGTAACCTTGGGAATGAAAGTGTCCCGAAAGAGCGGAGGATGGGCTGGGACAGGACACCCAGCTTTCGAGCGAGGAGACAGGCCCCGTCGGCCTCAGAGCCAGGCCCGCCGCCGCCTACCGGCTTTGCCGCTTCAGGCGCAGGGCAGACCGTGCCTAAAGATGCCACCACTAATATTTTTTTTATTAATATTTTTTATTTTTTATTTTCTGACTGACTCTGATAAAGGGATTTAGAGAGACTGAGCACCGCCGCCGCCCTTCCCTCACTCTGTCCTCACCTCGCTGCCAGCCTTGACTGATGGGTGCTGTGGAAATGATTATATAATGCTGCCCTTTGCAAGCAGTGTTTTTGGTAGGTTTTAATAAACAGACTTTTCAAAAGACGGCAATATAGAATCGTTAGATCCGTTGTTGATCTAAAAATATTTGCTTTATATTTTCATTAAATGACTTCTTTTAATATTTTATTCAGAATACCTATGAACTGCTGCAAAACGGTAATTTATTTTTCCCCAGATCTTGTATTACGTGTTTTTTTCAGACGAGCACAAATCAAAATGAAATGAAAATATGGACAGTTGTTAGGTAATAAGGGTATCTTTTGATGTGATCATTTGATTGTAATTTAATTTGAGTAGTGATTCCGTACGAGCTGATCGAGAAAATAAATTTGGTAGAAGGCAGTAGTCTGTGTCTGATGCATACGCTCTGTGGGGGCAGAAGAGCTCTGAGAAGAAATACTTGTTCTGACTAAGGCAGATCTTTAGCAGGTGGCAGCGCCCAGGACGCGAGGTGCGCCTCCCACCCGGGAGCTGGGGACCCTGAGCGCGCTGCAAGCCTCTCTGGAACAGCTGGCCTTTCAGCACACGGTCACCCCTTGGGGATCCATGCATTTCGCCACATTTTCCTCCCCTTAATTTTAGTGGGTGTCTTTGGTATTCTTAGGTGAAGTTGTCTATAAATACTAACCCTTTCTTGAAGATATCAGTATTCTTTATTGAATAACTGAACTCCACCACCAGCAAAGATGTGTCAGTCTGGTGACTGAGCGCAGGCTGGCGTAGCTCCCCAGGTTCAGCCCCTTTTATCTTCTCATCCCCCACAAAAAATTTTTTCTGTGCCTCTTTTCTCTTTTTCGGAAGACTAATGGTTGTAAGGAATAGTTTACAAGTCTATAAAATACTTTTATATTCGTTACCTCCTATTCATAACTATATGTAATTAAATTTAAATTATTAAGTGTTTTTGTTGTTTTCGGGCTTTCTTGCAAGGAGACATGCTAGTGGAGAAGCCTTCCCTTTGGTCCTGCCTGCTCTCCCCCTCTGCCCTACCAGCTGGTAGGTTTCTGGGTTTCCTCTTTGCCCAGTGTGATTATCTTCTTTACTGGTGCTGGGTTTACCTTTTTGGTCACTTTTTAGAGAAGCCCTGTGGAGCGGTCAGCGCAGCAGTATTGACAGTGTGTGCAAATGAAAGCGCAGGCCCTGCTTGGGAGGGGCGCTGGGCGGAGGCCAGGCTCCGCAGGGCCGTGTCCTGCTGCACTGTGCTTTTCGGGAAGGGGACTCCACAGACGCACTGCTCTGTTCTCACCGGGCTGTCACTCATGTGCCTCTGCCCCCCTCTCGCCCCTTCCCTTCCTCTGCCTGTGATATCAGTGCAGGGGTTAAAAAATCCCGGAAAACCGAGAGAGCAACCAGGAGCCGTCATTTTTCCAGACAGGCTCTGTGTCACTTCCATAAATCAAGCCTAGCCAGATGGCCGTGTGCAGGGTTGCATTATTTTAAACACCAAATCGCACTAAAAATCACAATCATTTTGATTTGTGAAATCTGAAAAAGGCCATATTTATTAAACAGAAAGAAAAAAAAAAAAAAAAAACCTCAAGACAAGAAACCACAATTCACTTTCCCTGGACCTTCTTGGTTCCCACCCTCCTTGCTATAATCAAGGCCCAGCCCGGGAATTTACAACCTGGAGGGAGTGGGGTGAAGCTCCCCGGGGGCTTCTGAGGGCCTGGAGGGAAGGCTGAGGAAGGCAGGCTGCTGGATACGGTGGTGCGTGTGCGCTGCCGGCATGGGAGTTGGAGCCCTTTCTCCTTTTCTGCTGAAACAGTGGTGCTTGATGAGACAAGGAATGGAAGTGTTTAAAATTTTAAGAGGTCTTTGCTTACTTGATATAGCCGGCAACGAAAGGGCTAACATTGGATTTCACACTGCTTTCTATTAAAAAGCAACCTATGCCGAGTACTTCGGAAGAGGCGCTGATTTGGGGGTGACTGGGGAGCTTCAGTGGGGAAGCTGGGCCACCAAGCCCATTTTCTTTCATTATTTTGCATTTTACAAAGCAGGCCAATGCTTCCACTCTTTATTTTAAAAAATCTTTCAACCCTTTGAATGTATTTACAAGATGAAATTCACAGTTGAGACACAAGAGAGAGGAGATCTAACCGAGGTTTTGTGCTAAGGCGTATATTGTTACACATGTAAATAATGAAAATATTGTTATCTATCACCAGATCTCGTTAATGAATCTGGTCATTGTGCTGCTTCGCGGCGCAAGTGTCTTGTGCTCCTCCGTAAAGTGCGCGCTTGTTTCCTCCCTTTCACTCCCTCCCCCTCCCCCACCAACCCAAAGGACAAGGACCAAGTTCTGTCCCCTGCCTGGCTAATCCCGAACTAGGCCCATCAACAGTTGACAGTGTCCTGGGACTCTGGGTCGCTGGGCAAAGTCGTAGTCCCTTCTCACCCAGCTGTTGCCCCCTGGCGAGACCCTGGCTCAATCCGTGAACGTGTATTTTCAACACTTTGCTCTGGTCACTCTCTCTCTCTCTCTCTCTCTCTCTCTCTCTCTCTCTCTCTCTCTCTCTTTTCCTTTAGTACTTAGCCAGGGACTTCTTTGTTCCAAAATAGAGGTGTCCACCATTGCCCCAGGAGAGCGTGCCCAACCTCCTCCGTGCAGCATCCACCGTAGCTCACTACATGCTCATAATCGGTTGTGTATGAATGATCTCCAACCTTCAGAGAATAATTGGTTCTAATATTCAATGCAGTATATACTATGGATAGTTTTATCGATAAGTGTAATATTTTAACAATTAAATTTGTTTTTTAAATTATATATTTGTAAAGTATTTATCCTGTTGGAAGCAACAATATATTGTTGTATTTATTCGTTTATTTTTGTAATAAATGATCAACGTCTTTAAGCTAAATCAAAAATGACATTTTTATATATCTATATAAAATGCATTTGAAGAGATGGGCACATTTGCACCAATTTGTATGTAAATAGAGTGAGGTCCATCAATAACTTGTAGCCCTCAGAACTAAATTGAAGGAAGAAACCTTTTCTCCACATGGAGTTTGGTTTGCCCAACTTTCAGGGTAATTAATCAACTCTAAAATGGACCAACAAGTATTGGCGCTGGTTGCAGACTTGGAATTAGTTATTTAGGCGGTGGACCTGGTTTTCTTTTTTCTTTTTTCTTTTTTTTTTTCTTTTTTTCTTTTAAGGCAGAAAGATAGAAATTAGAGTATTCTCTTCTTTCACTTGTGTGGCTGGCTGTGCAGATTAGAGCCAGGCAGTTTTGGTGATAAAACCTGATAGCTGTTGGGGTCCAGAGCTCTCTATGGGGAGGGAGTTGATGGAGGAAGCAAGGAGCTTGGGGTGCTTGGTGACCCCGTGCGAAGCAGAGTGGTGCTTGGTTAAGAGATCCTTGTGAAGTGGCTGTGAGCAGGGAAGTCCTCGAGCTGGTGGCCCTGCCACTGACGGCCTAGGTGTCAGGCACAGGTGCTGCTGTCTGGGGCCGCCCAGGGAGGGGACCCTGCCCAGTCCCTGCCTGGCTCCCTGCTCTCCTGTCACTGACTTGGTCATCCCTGGGCCCAGCGCCTGAAGGTCGCCCATGTGACCTCCTTGTCCAGGGAGCCCATGGTGCGCCGGATCTTGGTCTCCGTGAGGAACGCAGAGGGCTCTGCATTTACCTCCTGAACTTTCCAGGCTAGGAAAGGAAACATCGAGGCTCTGGAGGGCTCCGGGTGGGGGCAGCGGAGGCAGCAAGAGGGCTCCTGGTGTAATCAGATTTTTTGATTTTGTTAGCCTGGCTCATGGCCTATTAATTAGATTACTCTCTTTCATTCTTGATTTCACATCCGTGTTTGTTCCTGTATCCTAAAAAACGTGGGCGCGAGGGGCCAAGCAGGAGCGCATGATGTCACTGCCGGCCGGTGGCGGCCTGGCCTTCTGGCGGGTCGCAGGCCGCCTAGGATGAGTCCTCCTCCTCAAGGAGGAGTGGGTTCTGGAAGTGACCTCAGAGGGGTCTGGGGGAGGGCAACAGGCATTCTAGTGGTGGCACAACGCGTGTGTGTGTGTGCGTGTGTGCGTGTGTGTGTGCGTGCACAGACCTAGTGAGCAAGTGGGGTGCACCCCGGGAGAGGGGTCTCTTGAGTCACAGACTGGACCCAGAGACCCCGGGTCAGGGACTAGGTCAACTGCAGGCCCTGTCTGCTGTACAAATTTCGGGTGCAAGTCCCATGTCACCGGAGCAGAGCAGGAGGAGTGAGCAATGGCGGCCGGATTTTCTGGGGGAGGGTGGTGGCGGGCGCTATGGTGGCTGCCCCGGGCACGACGGCCCCGCGTGGCAGCTGCTGTGGGTCCCACAAGTTGTTTTCCTCGTGGCGACCATTCAGCAAAACACAGATCCTTTCTCAAAGATTTAAATTTCGCGGATGAATTACCATACACCGGTTGCTTAGCAACTAAATTCAAGCAGGGCTAAGAATATGCAAGCTTTTTGTATTCTCATTAATAAAAATGCCAGTCTGACACAGCAACCGACTTTGGATCACTGCAACTTCTGTAAAAGCCGTAGGAGAATCCAACCCGATCCTGCCATTTAATTACAGATCAAAATGGCTTGAAATGCGATGTTTTGTTCATCTATCTTAGTCCTAAAAGCGATATAAAAAATAACGGCTTTCAAGAGCAGTAGTAAATTTTCTTTTTTTTTTTTTTAATGGAGTTGTCTATTGGGGTTGCTGCTAATTGTCAACCGACACCTCGTGAGACACAGGTTGAAGCACCCTATTTCATCCATGTTTCTGCTTCTCCTCTTGGACCCCTCACTCTCTTCCCCAGCCAAGTAACCGCTGCTGCTGCTGCTGCTGCTGCTGTTGTTGTGGTTGTTGCTGTTGCTGTTTTTGTTGCTGCTGTTGTTGCTGTTGCTGTTGTAGCCAGGCCTTGGAAGGCCAGAGATAAAAGGCAGTTAGCAAAATTGTCCCCTGGGCAGTGGCCAGAAGGCCCAGGGCCACAGCAGAGGGCCGGAGAGACCTAGGAAAGTGTCCCTCGGAGCTGGGCAAGCGCAGAGCTGGGGTCACAGATTCCAGGCTCCTGGCCATAGCTTACAGGAGGGCTGGGGGTTTTCGTGGAGGCCCACTGACGGCTGATGGGGACATTCACACAGCTGAGCTCAAGGCCTGGCTGACCCAACTCCCAGGAACCCCCTGCTAAGGATAATGTGAGCAGGAGCTGGCCTCGGGACTCCGTGGCTCTGCCTAGCCTGTGGCCCAGCAGGGCCTGCGCCTGAGGGCTCTGGGCTGGAGGGTGACACTTTGGGCCCCTCCTCAGGAGACATACTAGAGGAAAAAAACAGGGAGGGAGATACTCAGGCTCAGAAAAAGGCTCCAGCCTGCTG